AACGTTTATTTTCACTTTAATCAAATCAACAATTTCTTTATGCTTTATTAAATAATTCACAGCATACATTTACACAATTTTATACCAATAACCTATGTTATTAATAAAATACCAAATTACTTAAAAGATTCTATTATAAATAATAAACAAGAATAGATTGTTGAATAATATATTCCATGTGTATAATATCAATCAATGAATATATCTGAGATGTTATTCTGTTTTAATGATCAATGTTTTAATATTGAAACGATTCGAATGTCTTCGAAAAAAATTGTTCATATTTCTAATGAAGGTTATTTTATTCGTCCGTATGTACATCAAGAATATATTCATTCTATGAAAGATGGAAATATTTTAACTAATGAAAAATTACATGAACAATTAATTGAACTAAAACCTATTGATAATCAATGGAATCAACTTGTTTATGTATCATCATCTGGTGGTAGTGGAAGAAAACGTTTATTTTTCCATTAGAAAGACAAATTTTAGTTGATATAATGCTTGAACAAAATATTATATCTTATTAAAGCTAGTCGAAAATAATGTGAATAAATATTTTGAAGTATATTTGTTTTGGCGATAGGAAAGTGTATTATCAGGATCTATATTTATGATAACATAAAATAAAGCTACACAATTATTTTAGCCTATGATATTTTAACTTTTCTTTACAGAGTGTTTGTAAAAGTAGCTCCCTATTTTAAATTCTTTGTTACTCTCAAACAACAAAAGATATCATAACGATTTTTTTTTTATTGTTTTGAAGTATGTCCTATAGCAGTTTATTGTAGATGGAACAAGCTGATTGAACATATGACCAATTGAGATGAAGCACGAATTTTCTTCAGAGAAGAATGTCTGAAAATAACTCATTATTTTGAATAGTTTATTTTTCTTATACGATAATAGATACTATAATAACTACAGAAGTGTATGGAGGATGAGTGAGGAATTTGAGACATTTTATGTAATAGTATTATGGACACTTCAAAACAGTAGAAAGGTTGTTATAAATAACGAGTTATTTTCAGATATTCTCTGAAGGGAATTCGTGCTTCATCTCAGTAAGTCGTATGACCAATCGGCTTGTTTCATCTACAATAAAATGCCATGGCACATGCCTCAAAACAGTAAAAGAATCGTTATGATGTATTTTATTGTTTGAGAGTAACAAAGAATTAAAAATACGGAGCTACTTTTACAAACACCCTGCAGATCATAGTTCACATATATTTTGTATGAAAAATAATATAAAGTCAATCAATCCACACATGAAGTGAAGATGCGTGAAAGCGATATGTACCATCAGTACATATACTATTTTGGTTTAAATATTCATCAATGATCGACGGAGAAGTATTAAAAGGATGAGTCCAACTAACAATTGCGCTCGTCAAATAATGAAGTCCATTAAATATTGGAAAAATATCTTCTCGCTCTTTTACAGACAAAGAAACATGTTCTAATTTTGGAAATATTTGACAGATTTGATCAATATCCTTATTAAGTATGGTATCTTCGACATTTAACTTTTTTATTTGTTCGTATACCTTTTGATCATCTGGAGGCGAATCAATAATTTGCACCAATGTTTTACGATCCATTGTTAGTTGATAAATGTTTGGTGCATATTTCAAAAGATCGTTAAATGGTCTACATCGTACAGAAGATCCGAATTTGAGATGTTTGACAGAAAACAAATCGACAATTTTTTGTATTTGATCGATATTGTCAGTGGTACATTCGAGTGATAAAATACGAATATGTTTGAAGAATAATGGAGCGAGAACCTCAGATGGAAAATGAGACACTCGTAGATGAGTACAATCTTCATGGAATAAATAATGATTTAATGAATGATTAATAAAACCTTCTTCTGGTGGATACCAACTATCAGTTGGAGAAAACTGAGGTACAGAAAATAGTTGCACGCATGTTTGAGTCATAGTGGAAATTAAACAGGCCATTTGCCAATGTTTATCTATTGTCCAAAATGAATTTTGAAAATGTGAAAGCACACCATCGGCAGTCATATCATTTTCTTCTGGTGTTATATTCAATGCAAATTTTGTTAGATATGGTAATTTTGTTTTAATTAACATCTCCCATCGTCTTCCATCAAGCATAGCTTGTTCGCCCATCGTTTCCAGTGTAAGATGTTTGAGTGATGGAGTAAACGAAAGGAAATTTTCAAGTTGATTAAATAACATCGAACTTTGTGATTCAATTATTAAAGAACTTAAATGTGGTAGAACATGATCAGATGTTAGTATATCATCATGAAATGGTACGGATATTTTAAGATAACGTAGATTTGGTATCCAACGAAAAATAATTCGTAGATCATTGAACAAGCAGGAATAAATAGTTAAATGCGTCACTTTAGATAATGGTTGTCGAAGAGTAATCAATAGTGAACTATCAATGAATGACAAATATTTTAAAGAAGGCAGAGTTGTTAATATATCAGTAATACTACGAGCATTTTTTATATTTATATCAATTAATTCGCTATTGACTGATAATGAGTGAATTCGAACATTATTTTCAAGATGTGATAACATCAAACAAAGTAAATTCCCATCGGCAATCTGATCAATACTAATATGTTGGAGATTATTAAATTGAATAAGTGGTAAAAGTGACATGAAGAGTTTTATTTGACCTGGTGTATATTCATCATCAGAAAGAACAAGTGATTGTATTTGATTAGGATGAATATGTTCGCATATAAAATAGAATGTTGATTTTTTCATAGATTTAAAATTGAGTTGAATACGAGGATACGAATGAAGTATAGTGTTCACATATGGATTTATTTTAACGAATGCATAGAGAAGATCGATTGTTTTCAAATAATCAAAAATTGTATGAAAAATTTCCCATGTAAACTTATCAAACGTAGACGGCATGATCTTCAACAATAAAAAATTGAATTAATAAATCTAGAATTTACAAGAAAAATAAATTGCATACATAAATATGTCACGCAACAAAAAAGCACGTACTGTATAGACGAACTTATGTTTAGCTATTGTGCGATTAATTCCGGCCACTATCAAATTATTTGTGGCTCTTTCTTTTTAGAATGTTCGTATCGTAAGTATTAATACTAGGTGGCGTTAGTTTATGAAGAAGAATCTTTTTAGAAAATTATTAGATGGCCGAAGAAACAATTATTTATCACGTCTAAGGATGTCAGTTGAGAGAAAGAGATAATGTATTTAATCGATATAAAATAGAAATAATATACCGAACCGCGTAAAGTGAACAGTTGATTTTTGCATTTACTCACAAAATGGCATTTCGGACGATAAAACGGACATCAATTTTGACATATTGCAGGTTCATTGATTGAAAGAGACATTTTAATGAAGCGAATGCAATGAATCTGATGTTTAATATAAATCATGAAATTATATCGATAGAAATGTTTTTTAATCAATGAATTTGAAATACATTAAAATTGATGTCCATTTCATCATGTAAATGCAATTTTTTTTTATTTCTCGAACTCCCAAAGATGTATAGAAGTATACTCATTAGAGTAAATTAACTTCACAAATGAATCATTTCCTAAAAAATATATGAAGTCAAATTTTACTCTCTGATCTTCTTTGATTCTATATGATGTTAGAACCAGATCAGATACGAACGTATAAGAATCTAACATGAACTTTACTGTCAAATTTTTTGATCTTGATTGATGGTAAAATGTGCAATCATTATTAGTGAGTAAAGGTATGATTTGTAGGTATTGATAATACAAATATTCGTCGAGATTAATTTTAACAAACTTCAAACATGAAGTATAATGAAAAAATAATTTCAACCAAGATATTCAGACATTGTCACATATTCAATTAATTTATTTTCTCAATAATTTTTATGTTCATTAAATAAAATTCATACATTCCACCATAGTTTTTAAAGAACCTTTATTTGATATTAATTTCATTGATGAAATGATTGAATATTCTTTACATTGATTTTAGATAATAAATGAAAAAGAAAATCAATGGAATAACTTCATTAATAATTCATTTTGGAGATTATCTCAAATTTTATTATTGAACAAAAACAAAGTTTATTCGAAAAAAATTATTCTTTTAAACACAATTTAATTAATCTTTATTAAAGTAAAGAAAATTAATTTGCTAGTCATTTACAAAATTTCGTCAAACTGATTATTAAATTAAATTTGACATTCTCGAAAACATTCAAACAATAGAAACAAAACACACATTCAAGAAGTATAACAAACAACAATTCAATAACATATGAGCAAGGAAATTGAATAGTTATCTTAAGAGCAACCATGATAACGTCGAGCATCATGCTTGATATCGAGGCATAATTTTCTATGCGCATCTGAATCAGTTATGTCTGAAACCTCTGAATCCAAATTTTTAGCGCATTCGGTTCAGTTGGTAAGAAGTTATAGGCGCCACAATCTTGAGTACTCCTCAATTTTTGGTAAAAAACTCATCGAAATTGCAGTTGAAAAGTTTAGGCTCTATAACTCAGCCATAGATCAACGAAACGGAACGTTTAACGCAATATACAAGGAGATGGCGGGGTGTGAGTGTGAAAGAAGAAAAGACCCATACCCACACCCAAGCCCCGTCTTTGACACTCTTGATAATCTTTTTTTTCTAACTATCTGTTAATTAAATGTTTACAGACGAACAAATACTTTATATTAACATTAAAATAGCGCTTTTATCTTTTTTTTTAAAATCTGAATGATCAATCGCTATCAGTTCAACCGTTTCTTATTTATATATCTAAATAGTTAAATATTTATATCAATGAAATGAACATTGAAAATCATTTTCTTATCCTTGATTATCACTTGAAAAGTTCATTTATTGTTAAATCTATTTCATTTGTTCGGTAGAATTCTTTTTCATTATTATTCTCTAAAGAAAATCGATCCTATAACAAATACTTCTATATAATCCGTTAAATCCATGGGAAAACAACTCTGCTAAAAACATCATTCATTTACAATTTTATCTCGATAAAATTAATAAAAATAATGATTAATCTATAATAAGTAATAATCAAAATGTTGATAATTATCTCTCAGCTTGATACAAATAATATCTGACATTGATTAACATAGTAATGATGATTAATAATATGAATTATCATTCTACTTTGACATAACTAAGATTTATGACTTCAAAGACTCGCAATGAACTTTTTTAGAATATTAAATAGCATTAGTTTTTCATATAAACTTAATTCAAAACATGTATAATGTTTATTTTCAAGCAATAGAAACAAAATACACATGTAGGAAGTATAACAAACAACAATTCGATAACATATGAGCAGAAAAGTCAAATTGTTATCTTGTGCTTTGAAATTTGATTTTGTCAACTTTTTATATTATTTATCGTATAAATATATCTAATATTTAGAATGTCTGTACTAGATTCTAGAATTATAAATAGAATGATGGGTTCCAAAGATCCCAATAATGCCTGTATGTATGTTGGAATAACAAATGCATACTTAAAAAACCAAATTTGAGTATATCTAAGGGTTTCTTCCCACAGTCAAATTTCGAAATTGTATGTAAATGAACACGGCCCCAAAGAGTTTTTTGTTTTTAGTGCCAATTTTTTTCTTCCATTCTTGTCCTGTTTGCGTAAGAATTAGTTTAATAGAATTATTGATCAGATCAAATTATCAAAAACAGTTTCTTAGTTTGTGTAGAAAGATTTTAATCATTTATTGTGATAAGAGTACAAAAATGGATATTCTGTTCAGAAGCGTTTATGCTTTACTGTATTGTTGTATTATAAAGATTTATAACGTTTATGTAGAAAATTAGTAACAAAAAAACACAGACACTCTTGAAAAATTTGCGAAAAACAAAGGAGTACAGTTTGAAAGACAAAATAAATCTGTCTTTGATGATTGCTTCTATTAAGTATGCGAAATAATGGCAAAGCATCAATAGCAACCAACAAATCCTATGATGTTATTCCAATAATGATGGTAGAAGAAAAAATTCCTCTGATGGGAATACCCATTGATATATATGTGTTTGTTTGTAATTCTCCAGTTATATGTGTCATCTCGTAGATAACATACAAAATGCAAAAAAAAAGATGTCAGGTCTGAAAGAGTTAACAGATAGAGAAAAGAAAGAACATTCTATGAATAGAAATATTTCCCTTTTATCTCCTCTCTTTATATATATATCGTATGAATTCTCCTTACATGTTGCATTTTATTTTAGTGAATAAACAAAATACTCTTATTCATCTAAGATTATATCAGGTAAATCTGATAGAATGAGAGTCTACTAATAATTAGATGTCAATCTTTTTTCATTAAATTTTTCAATTTTTTTAGGTGATTTATAACTATAAAACATGTTTAGTACAACAAGAGTCATTTTATTATTTATCATTACTTTTTGCATTCTTTATTATCAATATACATAGTCAATTATATGATGCAGCTAATGGTCTTGAAGATCTAGATCAAATTTATGAAAAACACTGGCTAGCAAACGTACAAGATTCAGAATTTGTTAAACGTAGAGTACAAAATATTCCGACTGGAAACACAAGAAGACAACTTCAACGTCTTATTGCACATTGGTATCTTGATGCGATGGATAGAGGACAAAGAAGTCATTCAATTATCAAAGGTGTTTTATCGGAAGATCGAAGTGGACGTATTGATCTTCAATCACCAATAACTAAGCACGGTATGCCATACTATAATGTACAAGTTCAATTGGGAACAAACACATATTCAACAGTATTCATTCCTGCCGGTGTCACATTAGGCAAAAACAGAATACGTAATGCATTTGTTGAAAGTATGAACTCAGGAAGAGCTTAGATATTTCAACAGACAGGAAGGAGAGGTCAGCCATGGGCTGCACAAGCTGAAGGATAATTATAAAAATGAAAACAAAACAATTATAGAAACATTAACTAAATTTTTAGCAATATTCTTATTTAAAAAGAATTTATATTTCTTTTTTTTTTATTGTGACAGTTCATCATATTCAAATAATATTAACCTCGAAATAAACTGACTAATTCTACTTTTGATATACTATTTCACTTATCAAAACTTCTTTATTATTGAGCATTTTCAAATGACATATGCGATTATTTTTCAACCTAGGTATCAAATCACTATCAGTAAAATCAAATCAAATAAAAATAAATAATTCATCATCAACCGGGTACACACATTGATGAGCAAAACAGATTATGGTGTGGGTATGAAAGAGCGGGATCAAACACACCCACCCACATCTATATCCCACACCACACCCTTTTTCCTCGTTACTGGAAAAATATACCTAAATACCACTGTTTTACTTCTTCTTCCAGTTGGTAAGATATTCAAGAGCCACAAAAATCTCGATTTAAACCTCAAATCGGTTCTTTAGACTGGTCACCCTTTACGGATAGTCTCTGATATATGTGATCTTTATCTAAACCAAGTTCTTCAGAAGCCTACAAAATGATAAGAACTGTGTTTAAAAATTGAAAATTATACTTTTTATCTACCTTACATGCCGCACATTGCAAGATGGTTTCACAAAGGGTGTGGGTGTGGGTGGGTGTGTGTGGGTGCGGGTGTGGATGTGGTGGGTGGGTGTGGGTGTGGGTGTTGATGAGAAGAACGTGAACACCCACACCCTCAAAGCAAATGATTTCTCTTCTTTATTGTACATGTTGCTTTGTTAAATAAACTGTTGAATCTTTTTACAGAATTTTTCCCGATTTTATCTTTTCCGGATTTTTTTTCCAGATTTATTTTTTCCGGATTTTTTCCTCCGGATTTTTTCTTCCGGATTTTTTTTTCCGAATTTCGAGACAATACCGACTACGGCATATTAATCCATCGCTAACTACCATCTTTGACATTTTGAATAAGGTCTGGATGCCCACTTCATGTACACCCATACTCACACCCAGCATGGAAAAATCCAACATATTCTTAAAATCATCAAGCACACCTTCAGTGTAAATTTATTACTCAATTGAGTCACACAGAAGGAAGAAAAAATAGAACTGATTAATGTCGTAGCTGGCTATTGTGAAAACTTTCAAGTGTTTTACCATTGCTCGCGTCATCGTGCATGACAATAGGTTGTCTGTAAACAATGACTTGGGTTTTTTTTAGCTTCCATGCAAATATATAAAGAATTTTTTATGCTTTTATTGTTTCATCAAAAATGGTTGTTGGAGCAAATCTGAAGGTGCACACTGAATATATAAGTGTTCTGATACCACAAGTATCAAATGAACACGAACAGTTAGAATCTGGTTATAACTCTTCAACATTGGCATCAGTTCCGGAAATTCTTCCAAAGATCAAAAGGCCTACAACTGCACATCAAGATAAACATGGTGAGAAAAAGTCCGTATTTTCAGTTAACTCTGAGCATTCGACAACAGTACAACATAACTTGCAGCACCGCCAAACAAAAAAGCAGATACACTCATCACAACAGGTTAATCATGATTCAATCACCATGTATCGTCGTGTAAAGACTGCCAATTCATTAATATCGGTGGATATGATGCTAAAAAAAGAGTTCAAATCAAATCAAACGGTGAGCTGTGAATGAGGATTAACGAGCTCAGATTCATAACCTGATAATTCAATCTTTCTTTACGTTCATTTTTTTTTAAATATTTTGTTGAGACTGGTTATCTTTCATTTGAATTGATCTCAACTATTGCAAACGAGATGTGTCTTTTGAAAATGTTTAGCTACTTGATATCAGACTCTAAATTTGTAGTTAAAAGTTCAAATCTTTCATGAATGTTCTTGGAAAAGTATATTTACAGTTAACATTGTCATAAACTGTCAATGATTGTATAAAAAAAAATAGAAATAGAATCTTTCGAATATATTCAACACTTAATGGTTATTTGATTTTTTTAAAAATAAATCATTTAAAAACTCAAATTATGAAATCGAATAGTTAGCTTTTTGTGGACTTTCTATAATCAAGTCAATTTTTTTTCTTACAATTATAAATAACACAATCCTGAATACTAACAAAACTAGGAAAATATTTACGTATTATTAGAACAATTATTACTGTGAACTCCTTGAAATTATTCATGCCAATTGCAGTGTAATCTGTGTTAAAAAATGATTACAAGAAGATAAATTTTTTCCTATGTCGATGTTACATGTTCAAGAATTTTTCATTGAGCATACGTACATATAGGATCCGTATTACCACTTTAAGATTCGAACATAATTCGTTTGCCGTTCTTTCCAAATCCATGGCTATAACTAGTGTGAACGACCTAATACCGACGTTTATGCATTGAGTTCGATCTCTTTCATTATGGAACGAGCATTATTGTAGGCGTAATTCGCTTACGATGATGATGATCATCGCTTGTTTTGATTTCAACACTTGAACTTTTCGAAGAAGAATTTGATACACTATGCAAGGTTTTTTTCTTTTATTGTAAAATAATCTGTTTCTAAAAAAGTTCGTTTCCTTAAAAATCTAATGAAATTAATACATATTTCACTGAGTTTTTCTTTTTTGCATAGATTGTCAAATATAACCAAAACATGAAGACTCATAGTTGAGTTGACAAATAAGTTCATTTGTTAGTCTATTGAATTAACACAGAAAAAGTGGTCTGATTACAAAGTAAAATGTGAGTAACAAGAAAAGTATCAATTATCTTAGACTTCTGTTTCATGTGTGAATATTTAAGATAGAATAGATTCTATTGAATAGGCTAAGTTTTAACAATAGTTTTGTCAGTAAGGAGAAAATTGAGCACTTTTTACTATTTTGATGACTACAGAATTCTTGTTTACGAATAAGCTTTTAAAGAAATTTTTTCAACAAAATAGATCAATGTTCAATTACAAAATTTGAACAATCTTTTAAAATATATTAAGTCTCTGCAATATTCTGTCATCAGAGTTCTTATTTCAACACATCATTTTGTAGAAAAACTCTGATCAAATTTGAAGATCAAACATAAATGATTTAAAAAAAAAATTATGTTTTCAACGTTTTCAGAAAAAAACAGAAAAATTCAAGTATCCAGGAAGAGCGTTACTTACGACCAAAGACGATGATATGAATGGTCTTATCCTACCATTTATAACGGTAAACAGTGGTGTTTTGCCGTTTGTCTCCTAAGATAACAATTATACAAAGAAAAATATTTCATCTTTCGCTTTTTTATAGACTAATGTTTAGTTGCTTCAAAGATTGTTTAGGGGGACACAGGTTGGTCACATTGTAGTGGTTACAAACATTCATATAGAACGCTCTTGACACCAAAGTTAAGAGGCTTATTTTCTTTTTTTTTTCTACAACCCAGTGTGACAAAAGAGAAGTTTGCCAGGAACTTTAGCCTCACCTGTTATTTTATTTTGAAAAATATAAGTCCAGAAAACGCCTAACCATACTAAATGTTGAGTATAGACCATTTCGCCGCAAAATAGCACTTGAAACAGAAAATCAACTTTTCGATATATTTTAGAATATTTCAATTGATCGCGGTCGGCGTTTGGTCCTTCCTTCAAAATATCAAGAAGAAATTTCCAACTATTCTGATGACTGGGACTCAGATTATTCAGACGATTGGACATCGGATTGTGCTGATGATTGGGAATCAGTTTCGAAAGAAGCACCAAAATCCACAAAAGTACTCACACAAAAAGAATCTAGAGATGATTTACAAACAGATCTAGAAAAACGACCGAAATCGACAAATGTGGTTCAACAGCAAGAATGGAGAAGCGATTTAAAAACAGATATGAAAGAATCACCAAAGCCCACGAATGTACGCGAACAATCTCAGTTTGAAACAAATTCATCGAATGATAATATATGTCTAGTACCATCTGACCCCAGTGCTTTTGAACCTCTGTTCTGTCGGCAACGTCAGGCAGCCATCGACAATATGACTTATCGAAGAGCAGTTGATAGCTGGAAGGCGAGAAGTATTCATGATGTCGTCAAGCTCATTCTTGAGTTATCACTCGGCAAAAGTTTGATCGATCGAGCTTGGATTGTATTCTATTGGGTTTCTCAAAATATTGAGTACGATATTGAATCTTATTTTAGTGGAAATATTCGACATCAAACCACTGAAGATGTGTTTAACAACCGAAAAGGAGTTTGTGATGCGTTCGGTACAATTTTCGAGGCTTTGTGCAATGGAGTTCAGTTAGAATGCAAGAAAATCAGTGGATACGCCAAAGGATACGGTTTTAAACAGGAGAAATCAACTTTTAATCGAACGAATCATGCTTGGAATGCTGTTCATATTGATGGTCATTGGTATCTTGTAGATCCAACATGGGGTGAAGGACACATAA